ACAGGAACCTGCTGTAAAACAGCAATTATGCTGAGTCAGGCTTGATTTTTAATAATCTTTTCCTGTTAAGTAAATCAAATCAAATCAACAGGAGTAACTGATGAATTCTCTATATTCTAAATAAACTTGCAGAGGTCACATTGACAAAGTGAACGCACATGAACCCTTTGTTTTACACCTTATGTAACCAATAACTGAGGTACTATAACCTGGCTGCGGAGGGATTCAAACACACGCCATCTAAATGACTGGAGCCTTAATCCAGCGCCTTAAACCACTCGGCCACGCTACCACACCTGTCACAGTCCAACTAGTTTTAAATGATGCTCCACAGACACTCACTGTTCTGGTCTGTTTTCTTTGTTTATATGTCCAGTGGCAGATCTAGGATTTTTCAGTGTAAGGGGACTTCAAGGGGCCACAATATTCATAGAGGGACCAAGTTTTTGTTCAGCATCCTTGCACACAAATCCCCAGTTTTTGTAAGATTTATACATTTAATCAGTCACGTGTTCAAACACTTGTAAAAGTTTGCACAGTACATTCTCCTAAACAATTTTACATGATTTTTACTGTAAATAAATAAAATACTCCCAAACACACAACATGTGAGAAAATCTAGCCATCACTGTAAAAAAAAAAAACTTTTTTCTGCAGGATTGTTTTAATTGAAAAAGACGTCTGTAAACTTGCTTCTTGCTGGACTTTCCTATTTGATTCACTGGCACCACTAGTGGTTGGAATTGGAACTGCAGCCACCACCATTGTTCTTGGGCAAGGACAGAAGAGTGAAAGGACAGGGGCACATCAAGGGGCCAATAAGATTTCATATGGGGCCAATGCCCCTGTGGCCCCGCCACTAGAACTGCCCCTTGTCATACATTATTCTGATGTTTTTGCAGAAAGTTTTGCAGTAATCGTCACAGTTGACAGTTAGTTAAAGGTTTGGCATGATGCCAGCTAAAAGAAGCAAAATAGCTGAATCTGAGCTCCTTTAWTTTCATAGTTGGTGGTRCCCCGCACCCATTTTAAATCMCGAGGGGATCGGTCTTCCCCTSTCTAAACGCAGCCTTGATTCTACTGATGCTTTTAAAGAAACATCTGAAGAMTTTTTATACAAACAGGGTTTTAGCTAAGTTGTCTGTTTTTTTTTTCCTACCTGTTTTTTACTTGCACTTTTGTATGAATGTAATGCTTTTGTGATGCTTTAAAAATTATATATTTTTTTGTTTTTATTGTGAAGCACTTTGTGATTTTACATCTATGAAAGGTACTGTATAAAAAACTTTACTTACTTACTTAATATATTTTATTCTTAAACCAACATCACCCATAAGGAACACTTCTTATAGTTTAAAAGTTGCAAAGTAAAAGTGACGTATCTGTGTGAGAAGCATCCTGCAGCAGTCAGACATTTTTCTCCTCATCTTTCAGCAGGTAATGAAAGGTGGAAAACTCAAAAACAAACCCTCCTTCTGCAGCTCTTTGAAGAGAGCTGAGTTTGTTTTCTGCAAATTAAACTCTGTCCTGATTAATAAACCTCTCTGCTCCCTCCCCATGTTAATAAGGTGCTACTTGGACGTATTTATCATGTGGAAATGGTGAAATACCGAGGCTAATTTTCAAACATAAAATGTTATTGGAGCAATATAGTTTACAGCTGCCGCAGTGCACGTCCAATTGAGCTGCTAATGTTTTTGCTTTTAATATGAAAATTATTGCGCTTTCTGCTAAAAAGAAATATTGTTCAATTACAATCTGAGGCCTTCCGCCGCCCCCCATATGTGGCTGATTTCACTGTGGGCTCGCAGTTTGATGTACTGCAAACATTTGAAACAAGGGGAGGGGATGAAGATTTATGCACATAAATAAGAAAAACTTAATGACACGAGCAGTCGATTAGCACTCGACTGCACGAGCCGAAGCTTTTTTAGCCCTCCCGGTCGGTCCACGGCAGCAGAACTCTGCCTTGGCAGRGCTGTTAGTCGGATCAATTATTGATGAAGTTCAGGTCCAAACATGGTGTTTACAGCCAGAACCAGACCACAGACTGACGCCTTCACACGCCTGCTTTTTGACACTCCGAACGGGGAAACAGATACCTGCTGCTGCATTTCCTCGCACGGCTTCGAGCCAGAGAACCACTCTGATCTTCAGCTACAGACGATGAGAATTTTTCTTTCATTTTTAATTATACGTAACTTTAAAGCTGCCATAAAACCATGTTTACTAAAACAAAATGAAATTGCTCTGAATTCTTGGAGAGCAAAATACACTGTCGAGAAACTGTTTATTTAAGAAGCGTGCAAATTCATTTGATATGTTGAGAAGTTAGAAAGCTTTTTTTGTTTTTTGAAAACCACGATGTCATAGTTCCGCCTCCACAAGAAGTGAGTCCTTTTCCTGTTGTTGCGTTTTCATTTGACACCCAATGTTTATTTTTTCTCCTCCACGCCTTGTTTCCTGTTTTTTAWGTTTTTTGTTTGGTTGCTYCTGTGGTGGCTCTACAGCGCCACACACAGGCCTGGCATACTTACTACAGGCTCGTTTTCAGATGGATGAAGACTTTTATTTTAGAAATAGTGGCATGTTAACAATATATGGATCTCATCATTATTTAACATTTGCTTCATGTCTTTATTATTTGTGTCTATCTTTAGAAAAAATAATTATTATGATCCCTGCATGCAAAGAGCTTTTTTTCAGTGATTTTTGGTCAACCGTAGCACAGAAATGGCAACACCAATCAACATGAAATTAGGCAGAACTGTAGATGTGTCCGGCCTACACTGGGCCAGCCAACAGTTTTATGAAAGACCCCATATTTGAGGAGGGGGCTCCACCTGAAAAGAGGGTATCTGGACATAAAAAATGCTTATAACTCAAAAACTATTCAACATTGGAGCTTCAGATTTTTTTTATTGTTTAGTTCTGATGACGGGCTATCCATCGGGCCCACTAATGAGCCCCGCCACACCTCGAACCCCACCCAAAACAATAGTTCTGGTGCATTGGTGGTTTGCGCACATGCGGGGGTCATTTGCAGTATCTAGTTTACCTGCAGACTTGTGTTAGCTGCAGAYTTGTACCTCTGACCTGTAAAAATCCAGAGTTTTACTCTCAGGAAACCTTCAATCTCTCCTCTTTGTGTCTTTATGTGGACTGGGTTTTGCGATAACTAAAACCACAGCTTTACCCCCTGTGAATGAGGAGAAACTTGCCTCTTTTTAATCCCCGCTTGTGTCTTCTTCCTTCTCGCTGTGTTTTCTTTCCTGGCTTTGCTTGTTTGCATTTTAATGAGCTTTTCACCTTTTTAAGCAGATGGCTTAGGCTGAGTTTCTCCACGAGAGTCAGGAGGAGAATTTCTGTCGGTTTGTTTCAAGCAGCCGAGTCCTTGAGGGGCTTTAGAGCTCTGTGCCCGTTTTACCCCTACTTCTCCTCTGTYCTCCCCCTCTAATGAAAGGAGCCTCACTCTTTTAAGGTGAATCTCTCTAGACTGAGGACTAATTGGCAAATACTCATGGAGCATCTCCAGAATGTCTTGAGATGCTCGCAATCTTTCAGTCTCACATAAATAAGGCTTGAATTCTGAGCTTGTTCAGAAAAGTTGAGCAACACATTTTATTTTGAAAGAATCACAGAGTTTTTGGGTGTGTTTGGTTGTTATCAGTATAATTTGAGAGTGAGACAAACTTCCAATTTTATTTTAGCAGATTGTCTTTAGGACTTTTATTGTGGTAACTAATAAAAAATAAAAACTTGTCTTGTTCTCAGAAATGTAATTTTCAGTTGGGAGCAAAGATTTTTTTTTCTTTTTCTTTTTTCGTTCTTGCCTTTTTAAGGTCACAGAATAAAAACAGAGCTAATAGTGGTAAAACTGACCAATCAGAGCAGACCAAGTTTTTTAGGAGAAAATCACCAAAAAAATTAAACTTATTTTACTTCTGCCCAAATAAATTTTAGTCTTTAAATGTTACTGAGAAATTCAATAAATATAACTTCAATAAAGGCTTTCATAAGAGAAAAAAAAATTAATAAACCAAACGCTCACTCTGATGTGTCTGCACATTTTTACATGTAAATGAGATGTTTTTCTACATTATTTATAGAAATTTTATCATTTTTTTACACTAACTAAAAACAGGAGTGACTTCCCGAGACGCAGACAGGGTGTTGGTTTCTCCTACCTGCTGGTGTGTTCTCCTGCTTGGGGCAAATTCCTTTGGTGGGCGTCTTCTCTCCCCTCTCACCTCTTTCCCCTCGTCCTCCCACCACCTCCTCCTCCTCTGGTGTCACCTGGATGCCGATCTCCACCGGCTCCACCACCTTCCTAAGCTCCCCCCGCTGGGTGTGGTGATGAAGGCTCTGGAGACCCCCTGCTCCTCCTCCTCCTCCTCCTC